CAGACCCTGCGGGGGTCAGACTCTAACTGGGCACAGGCTGTGGGCCATTGGTGTGTGTTTCAAAGGAAAACCCAATTCCTCCTGTCCTACTGTCTGAGGAAGCAGTCTAGGCTCTTCCTCGAAATTCACCCTTCCTCCATCGACCACCTCCAACTTCCTTTTCTAGAAATTACATTGAGGGCAGCGTCAAAAAAACAGGGGAGGTGGACTTAAAAGCCCAACGGCTCAGGACTAGAGTGCCAGCTTCCTGCCCGGTATGTCGATCTGCGAGCGGAGCCTTTGTTCCTGGCTCAGGCATTTGAGGTTTCTGTGGAGACGTGAAGCGGGACCGGACGAGGGGCGGGGAGAGTATATGGATGGTGCCTGGACCAGGCAAGAACAAAGGTGCAGGGCGGGCGGCAGCCGGCTGGGCGGGTTTACCTGCTTGCCCCTGTAGAAAAGCCTCTGGAGGCTGGGCTCCACGTGGAAGACCTCCTGGATCTTCCGCCTCAGCTCCTCCACCTTGGTCAGCCTGGACAGCGAGTCGACAGTGTGCGTCACCTTCCCGTCCATGGTGCGAACCTGGATCCACATGGCGCCTGCTGGTGCTGAGGGCGAGAGAGCGGGACCCCCGGGTCAGTGGGGCTGCTGCCACCAGCACACCGAGCAATGCTCGGGTCACCTTGGCTTTTGTCCAGTCTGTGGACGCTAGGAAACTCCCAGGACACCCTCCCGGCGCGCGGGTCCGCGGACTAGCCAGCCACAGCTGACCAGGGCCCCGCAGAGGAAATGAAGGAATTACCGCGTTAATGACCATCACGCCGTTGGAGCGAGGCGGGAAGGGAAATGAGGGGACAGCGAAGGGCATCTCGGACCACTCAGTCCAACCCGCTCCGTCTTTCATGGAGGAGAGGCGGAGGGGACGGGACGGGGGGAGCAGGGAGCGACACACACAATGTCCAGAGGAAGGAGGGCACAGCCAAATGGCGAGGAACCAGGTTCGTTCGTTCGTTCATTCATTCATTCATGCCTTGGGTTAATACTAACGCAAGAGGAAAACCCAAAAGTCCGGCGCGGGTTGGAACTTCAGAAGTCCCAGTAACTCAACTAAGTGTAACCGAAAGGGAAGGGCCACCGCCCCCCGGGACCCGGGAGCCCCCAGCCCTGGGCGCCCGCGGCCCCCGCCACCCCCCCGCGCGCGTGCGCGCGACACGGCCGGCCCCGCGGTGGCCATGGCAACCGGCCGCCCCGTCCCGTCCGCCCCCGCGCGCGCCGCGCTACTCACCTCGGCCCGGCGGCAGCCTCGCGCACCGGCTCGCGTTTTCCGGACCCCGACCCACGGGCCCAGAGCCCCTCTTATTCTCCCGCCCGTCCGCTCGGGCCACGCCAACTAGCCCACGCCCACCCCCACCGCCGGGACCGGCCGAGGGGCCCCGCGCGCCAAGTCCCGCCCCCCTTCACTTGAGCCGACTCGCTCATTGGCTCCGCCGCGCCCGGCTGCCCCGCCCAGCCCGCTCCCCATTGGCCCAGGCGCGCCCGGGGAACTAAGGGCGCGCGAAATCGGGCTCGGGCGCGACAATTGAATCGCGGGGCGCCCCGCGCGCAGGCGCGGAGCCTGACATCCTCCCCTGCGGCTCGCCAGGCCCTCCCCCCACCCGGCCGGCGCGACCCCCGCGGGGCTCTGGGTATGTTCCTCTCGCTCCTGCCGGCGCCCGGGCGGCGGGGGACGACTCCCGAGGGCCGGCAGGGCGGGGGCAGAGCCCGAGACGGCGTGGAGAGCAGCCACGCTGCGGGGCACGCGTGCGCCGGTATTGGCCCCGCGTCCCCGGGCCGCTCCCGAAAGTTTTGCAAAGTCTCCGCTCCGGGTGCGACGGGCCCTTCCCCCGGCCTGCAATGGCAGCCCGATCAGTCCGGAGGCTCACCTCTCGGCCGCCCCGATCCACTCTCCTGCCTGCGCGCCTGGCCCGGCTGGGGATGGCGATAGAGACGCGTGCGTGGCCCCGGACCCCGCGCGGACCTGCCTGCGACCCGGAACGCCTGGACGGCCACCACTGCCCGCCGCGCTGCCAGCTGCTCTGATTTTTTTTCCCGCGAAAACTCGGCGTTTGGGAGTTGCGGGGCCGCGGGAGGCCGCGCCAGGGGCGGGCTCCTGCTTGGTGATTGGCCGCCGCAGTGGCGGGAAGCGAGAAAGGGGGTGGGGGGCGCCCCCTCCTCCGTCTACCCCCACTCCGCCCAGCGGGCCACGGCCCCGCCCAGCCCTGCGCGCTCTGCTGGGCGCGCCCAGTGTGCAACCCGGCCCAGGGGCGGGAGCTGGGCGCCCCCCACTCTGCGTGTCCCTCAGGAGCCCTAGGGAACCCCGGGGCAGAGACCCCGGGTAGGGATCCCCTGACCTTTTAAGTCCCTTTCCCACAGCCCCTCTCCCGGGGCACGGGCACGCACTGACCAGTAGGGCAAGGAAGGCCGGAATCAGTGTTTAAACGCTTTAGTAGAATGTGGGGGCTCCTCTCAAGACTGCCTGTACCCCGATGGCCAGCCTGATCGCCCCAAGCTCCCATTTCCCGGCATCAGGGCCTGCTAGAGCTCCCCACCCTACCCACCCGCAGGGCTTGTTTGCTGGATTTTCCCGCCTCGTTTTCCCGCCTTCTCTGGCTGTCCAGGCGGTCAGGACTGCCCTGCCCCCTCCGCCCTGCCTGCTCTGCTCTGGCCAGTCTTCGCGGGCACAAAGTGACCCATGCTGGGCACCTACAAAGCGCCCGGACACAGTGTTTGGATCTAGGGGCGAGGCCCAACAATGGGCAAGGCCAACCCTGTTGGTGGTTTCTAGAGGGGTAAATTCTTGTCTGGAAAGAAAGGCAAAAAAAGGAGTAAGGCAAATCGTTTCATATAATAGTAGGTGGAATGAAGACAGGACAGTAGCTGGAGAGGCATGTGGGGGTGGGCAGAGAGGACATTCTGGCGGAGGTAGAGAAGTGGGCCTCTGAACGAATGACATTTGAGCTGAGATCTGAGATAGAAAACAAGGACAGATGGGTCGAGGAGGGACAGGCAAGCTCAGAGGCCTGAAAAGACTTAGAAATGTAGGGGGAGCAGCCAGGAGGCCAGGGTAGCTGGGCAGAGAGGGGACGAGCCCACAGAGGTGTCATCTAAGGCCTCGGGGGGCCTTTGGTTATCTGTTGAGAGCAGTGAGCAGCATGGGGAAGGCTGTGAGCCCAAGAGTAATGACCTCCACCTTCTGCGTGTACAGGTTTTTTCGGACCCGAGCAGAGTCCCTTGTAGGCACTGCTCCTTCTTTACCCAGATGGTAGATGGAACAATGCCCCCCACCCCCCCCCCCCCCCCGTGCCCTGGCCAGAGCTAGCCATATCCTAATCCCTGAGCCTGTGAATATGGTAGCCTCCAGGGCAAAAGGGACTTTGCCAATGAGATCAGATTCAACATCTTCCAGTGGGGGAGATCATCCTCGATGATGCAGGGGTGTCCAAAATCATCACAAGGGTCCTAACAAGTGAAGCAAGAGAGGCAGAAGGACCACATCAAAGAAGTGACAAGAGGGGCGCCTGGGTGGCTCAGTGGGTTGAGCCGCTGCCTTCGGCTCGGGTCATGATCTCAGGGTCCTGGGATCGAGTCCCGCATCGGGCTCTCTGCTCAGCGGGGAGCCTGCTTCCCTCTCTCTCTCTGCCTGCTTCTCTGTCTACTTGTGATCTCTGTCTGTCAAATAAATAAATAAAATCTTAAAAAAAAAAAAAGAAGTGACAAGAGAAGTAGATGTTGGAATGATGAGAGCAACAGACAAGGAACGTGGGAAACCTATAGAGGCCAGAAAAGGTGAGTGACAGATTCTCTCCTAGAACCCTAGGACACCTTGATTTTAGCCTCTTAAGACTTGTTTAGGACTTCTGACCTCCAGAACCGTAGGAGAATGAATTTGTGGTTTTTAAGTCACTAAAATTGTGGAGATTTGTTTTAGATGTCATAGGGAACAAATAGAGTCCAAATACAAAGTCTGGAATTTTTTTTTAAGTTTTATTTATTTTTTTTTATTTTTCATTTTTTAAAAGATTTTATTTATTTGACAGACAGAGATCACAGGTAGGCAAGGAGGCAGGCAGAGAGAGAGGGGGAAGCAGGCTCCCTGCTGAGCAGAGAGCTCGATGTGGGGCTCGATCCCAGGACCCTGGGATCATGACCTGAGCCGAAGGCAGAGGCTTAACCCACTGAGCCACCCAGGCGCCCCCAAAGTCTGGAATTTGTTGTTAACTTCCTCCAACTTCAGAACTCCGTCTGTATGCTACTGAGTGTCTTTCTGGACCCACAGTCATCAGCTGCATATAGAACACATCTCACGGACGGGCAGGTGTCAGGCTGGCCTCCCTGAGTCTGTGAGGCAGGTGAGATCTTTCTCATTGAGGACAAGCCCGGAGTCAAGCAGACATTGGTGGGCACAAAGCCTACAGAGACTAAGTCCCACCCTGCAGGGTCTTCCCATTCGATGGGGGAGACCAGGTGTAAAGAGAAATGTCAAATGTGTAAGGAGATGGTGTTCATGTTTACATGGAACTAAGCATTCAGCCAGGACACACCAGATTTCATGTCCTGGCCATATCTATAATGTTTTCTTTTTCCTAACAGGAACTGGCTGGTATAGAGAATGACCCATTAAAATGACAGTGATTGTGTATGAGCTTAACCAGTCTATGGACCCTGAGAAGTGCACATACCACATTCGGGGGCCATCTGCTAGAGCAGAAAAGACTTGGGGCCCATCTCTAAGCAGAGCTCCTAAGGAGCATCCCCCCCCAACCCCCGCCCAGGTCTCTAATCTCCGAGCATGACGACAGGTGCTCCCTATGGGGTAGGAATGCTAGGGTCTTGCGGTTGTTTTGGCTTATGTATCCGTTATTTCTTAGGAAAAAGGGATCAGGTTGTCATCTCATACATCAGTGAGGACTTTGGAATTCCCAAGCTGTCCCACCCCTGCACAACAGCCTCATCTCCCCTCCCAGCCCCTAGGGAGCCCCTTCCCAGAACCCTGGCTGGATGATGTCACAGACAGGTGACCTCACTGCGGCAAAGGAACCGGGAATCTCAGTGGCATGGGGGAGGAGGGAGGATGTGTCCCCACCACCCCAACCCCCCATGTCTGTGGTGAAATCGATCGAATTAGTGTTGCCCAAGGATGCCATCTACCTGGCCGGCTCCAGCATCAAAGGGCAGGTGGTTCTAATTCTGAACAGCACCCTGGTGGACCCTATTGTGAAGGTCGAGCTCGTGGGAAGGGGCTATGTGGAGTGGAATGAAGAAATCGGGGCGTCACGTGATTATAGCAGAGATGTTATTTGCAACAACAAGGCCGACTATGTGCACAAGATGAAGACATTCCCAGTAGAGGGTAAGGATGAAGCCAGCAGCCACCTCTAGCCATAATAGGAACCTGGGTCTGGAAGGTAAACATGTGTGCTAGGGGATCAGCAAAGCCCCAGGGATACCAGAAATGGGCAGAGGCCGGGTCCCTCCCAAGGAGGGAAGCTGTGTATAACAATGACCATCAGATACACATTAACACGAAAATAACAAGACAGAAGGAGCTGATCAGAACCCAGATATTCAAACTGAACTCACAAAGTCATTTCCCTGCGGGGACAAAATGTTAGCCTTAGTCCAATGACCACTTGGAGAGGCCAAAAACAAAAACAAAAACAAATCTGTCTTGTTATTTGACAAATAAATCTCCCTCTGACAGTGAAATATGCAAGGAGACAAAATCATCAGTCCTATGGTCCCAGGGAACAAGTGAGGAGGCAGGGAAGACATTCTAGGGAGAGAAGAACCAGTTCCCAGCTCCAGCGGTTTCAGATCCCCAGTCTGGACAGACCTCAGGAAGGCTGAGCTGCCCGGGAGCCACACGTCCATCCCTGAGTGTGTACACGGGAGTGTTCCCATGTATTCCACAGCTCTCGGCCCACACTTGGCTGAACAAAGTTTAATTTTAGACTTTTAAAATTTTTAGATTGGGAGGTCATGGAGAGGCCTCTTCAAAGATAACTATGGAGCTCAGAGCTGAGCGTGCAGATAATCTAGGGGAGGAATTGCAACCCGCTGGCCCTTACTGCTCAGCAACAGCCTCTCTGTGTCCCGCTAGCCCTTCTGGAACATGGGAACTGGAAAAAGGGGCTGCCCCATGAGATTACTTTGAGGAGTTAGTGATTTAATGGTATATAAAGGGCTTAGACTAGTGTGGGGCATACAGTAAGTGCTTTGTAAGTGTTCGTTTTCTCAACCCACCCAGACACCCCCAGCATCACCATCCCTTCCCATGGCCGGGCATTTCCCCTCAAAAGCATAACCCCGAGCCTCCGATGGATTCACTCATTTATTTCGCTTTACTGATCGCCTTCTGCACATGGCACTGGGCCAGAGGCTCGGGGTGGGGCCATGGACGGAACAAACCGGGTCCCCGGAGTCATCGGGATTGCCACCCAGCGGCCAAGACACGAGAATGAGAGGCTTTGGGATGAATGAAAGACACAGTAAATAAAATAGGGGAGGCTGTAGAAATGGGGGCCGGGTGAGTTTCTCCCTGGTCCTCTGTTGCCTCTCAATCAATGTTAAGTGCCTACTGTATGCAGGGCACTGAGGGCCAAGCTCAGGGAGGGCAGGGAGCTGAACTGGTAAATAAAGCCTAAAACCTACAGTAGGGGCCTAAGATGGGTTTGCTAAACCAATGTGAGACTAAGGGCTGGACCTCCAGTTTCTCAGACCCAGAGTAAGGACAAGCACATCCCTATGGTAGTTTGCATAATTTGGGGTGACCACCCCAGCCACCTCACCCACCCAGGTGTCCCCCCACCTCCAGCCCAGCTGAGGCCTAGACCTAATATTCGTGGACCGTGCAGATCCCTAAAAGCACAGAACTCAGCCTAGCTTGGGGACAGGTAGGCCAGACCCAGAGCAAACCCCCTGCCAAAACAACAAATAAAGAAAGGGGGGGGGGGGGGGGGGAGGAAAAAGATTCTAGAACCTTCTGATGGCATCGGTGTGTTTTGCTTTCAGATAATTGGTTAAGTGCAGGCAGCCACACCTTTGAATTCCATTTCAGCTTACCTCCCAGGCTTCCTTCTACCTTCACCAGCAAAATCGGCCGTGTCTTCTACTTCATGCAAGCCTCCTGCGTGGGCCGGGAGCACATTCTGGCAAAGAAGAGGATGTACTTGTTGGTTCAAGGGACTTCGGACTTCCACAAAGAAAACCCATTGCAGGTAGCGATGGGGGAGGGGCAGTGGTGCGGCCGTCCTCCAAGCTCACCCAAGGCAGGTGGGAAGGCGGGGAACAGAGATGGCCCCTATCGGGAAGAAGGAAAGTTGCTGATGGCTCTCTGTGGGGCCCAGTGAGTTCACAAAAGGTGAATCAGAAACCAGGGTAGGAACTAAGGCAGCGGGCGGCAGGGGTGGGTGGTGCGGGTGGCTGTCACCCAGGATAATCTTGCCTCCGCTGGGAGGACAGGATGGTATGGGTCTGGGGACATCTACAGTTGACAGGTCTGGAGAGGGGGGCTACTGGCCATCGAGGGAGTGGGGGCTCAGGTGCTGTTCGATACCCCAAAGAGAATGACCGGACCCCTCTGCAAATGACGTTGCCTCTCTGTGCCTCCATCTCCACATCTGTAAAATGGGCAGACAGTGCCTGGCTTGCAGAACGTCCCACAGTGCCTGGCACAGGTTGGGGGATGGGCCCCATGAACCTTGTCAAGCCTCCAACACCAGTATTACAAATATCATGGGGATCATCTCAAGCCCGGCCAACAATCTGGGATGGTCCTGGAGGGTCCCAGGAAGGGTAGACGTTTGGAGGGGTGGAACAGCCCTGGGAGGGCCAGACCTGAGCTCAAGGCCCCCTTGACCGCCTGCTCCCTGTGTTACCCTGAGCAGACTATGGCCCCTCTCTGGCCTTCCCTTCAGAGCTAATCTACAGGGCAGGGGGGCAGGGCACAAGGCAGAAGCTGGGGTGAAATATTGGGGTTGGGTGAGACTCAGCCTGAGATCTGGTCAACAGATACTTCATTAGCTAGAGGGCCTTGGGGAATTCATAACACCTCCTAGAGCCTTGACTGTCCTGATCTGTACAATGGGGAGAATAATTCTTCCCTTGATGGGTACCCATGAAGACTGCAAAGTGCTCAGCACGGTGTCTGCACCCCCAGGAGATGCCCTGTAAACAGGAAGATCTAAAATCAAGATCATAGCAGCAAAGGGAGTTATCACAGATAAGTTTTGAGGATATGAAAATAGTGTTTTTCAACTACTCAATACTGTCTTTAACCGACTGGAGGAGGTGACATTTTAGCAGAGAACTGAAAGAGGAGAAAGGGGGAAACCATGGGGATATCTGGGGTAGAGGGTTCCAGGCAGAGCAAACAGCCCATGCAAAGGCCCAGTGGCAGGACTGTGCCTGGCATGTTGGAGGAACATTGTGGGGGCCACATAGCTGGAACAGAGTGAAGGAAGGGGTGAGGGGGAAGAAGGTAAGAGCAGGGAGGGAACAAAAGGCCTCAGGAAGGCTTAGACTTTCATCCTGATGCAGGTGAGAGAACTGGTGGACAAGGGGGTCATCACTGGATTCCCTCTGGCTGCTTTGGGGAGGATAAACAACGGGGAGCAGGGGGAAGGCAGGAGCTGGGGCCAGGGCAGGGATTACCACTCTGGCGCAGTGAGCTCAACCAGGTAGAGCCGGTCTTTTTTTCTTTTTTTAAGATTTTAAAAAATTATTGGAGAGAGAGAGTGCGTACGTGCGAGCCCAGGGAAGAGCAGAGAGGGAGAGGGAGTCTGAAGCAGACTCCACCCTGAGACCAGAGCCCAGTGTGGGGCTCAATTCCACAAACGCCTGATCATGACCTGAGCTGAAACCAAGAGTTGGATGCTCAATGGGCCAAGCCACCCAGGTACCCCTGCATGGTAGTTTGTCTGTCCTCGGAGCAGCCAGAGGCAGTCAGGCGATGACCTTCCTCTTCCCCCACAGCCCTCCTGGTCTTCCATTTCATTCAGGGTAAAGACCAAAGTCCCCCCTGCCTGCCCACAGGCCCTGCCTGACCTGCCCCCTCCCCTTCGCTTTCTCAGCTCCCGCCCAACAGGTCTCCTTGCTGTCCTTCCAATATGCTGGCCTGGTCCTGCCCCAGGGCCTTTGCACAGGCTGTGCCTGCCACCCGGAACCTTCCCCCTCAACTTTCAGATCTTTGTTCAGAAGCCATGTAGACACTCACCTGGCTGAGTCAATTCTCACAACCCCAACAGAGGGCAATTTAGCTGTATCTATTCCAATTAAAATGAACGTGCACTTTGCCCCAGCCATTTTCCTTCTAGAAATTTCTCCTACTGGTATTCTTTCACTTGTGACATGACCTCTCACGGCAATGTTCTCGTGCCAAGAAATTGGAATCAGCCTAAATGCTCATTGCCAAGGGAGTGAAAGTAGCAAAGGAATATTCTATCGGTAAGTTAGAGAGAGAGAGAGAGAGAAACAGACAGAAGCAGAACAAGGCAGCTCTTGGCATCAGGACCTCTAAGTCGCGGGCTTGAGTGAGCACAGCAAAGCTCAGAACAAAGTGTCTAGCCTGCAAGTGAGAAATGCACTTCCTTGCAGGTGTAACAAACGTCTCCGGAAAGAGATCAGAGAAACTAGCAACAGACACTTGCCCCCCTGGGAGGGGAGCCCGGAGCCAGGAGAAGCAAACATTTTCCCCTTCCACTTGTTTTTAACAGCTTTATTGAGCTATAATTCACATATTTTTTAAAAGATTTTATTTATTTATTTGACAGAGACACAGCGAGAGAGGGAGCACAAGCAGAGGAAGTGGGAGAGGGAGAAGCAGGCTTCCCACTGAGCAGGGAGCCCGATGCGGGGCTCGATCCCAGGACCCAGGGATCATGACCCGAACCGAAGGCAGTGGCTTTAACCCACTGAGCCACCCCGGAGGCCCCTAGAATTCACATATCTTATAATCTCCTCATTGAAAGTGTACAGTCGAATGACTTCTCTCGTGTTCGCAGAGTTGTGCGGCCATCACAACTCTACTTGAGAACACTGTCATCACCCCAGAGGGAAGCTTGCATCCCTTGGCTGTCACCCCTCCAAACTCCTCACACCCCTCCCCCAGCCCTGGCCACCGCTAATCCCCTTCCTCTCTCCCCGGATTTGCCTGTTCCGGCCATTTCAGGGAAATGGAATCGTATTATAGGGAGGCTTTTTACGTCTGACTGATTCCACTCACCAGCGTATTGTCCGTGTCTCATCCCTTTTAACAGCCATCTCGTAACATTCCATCTTGCAGGTGGACCACATTTTGTGTGCGCATTTGTGCATGATGGATACTTGGATTGCTTGCGCTTCTTGGCCATGTTTCGTGGATGTATCTTCTTGTTTCTCTTGGCTGGATACCTGGAGAGGAATTGCTGGGCCAGATGGCCACTCCCTTGAGCATTTGAGGCCCCCCCCCCAGCCTGTTTTCCACTATGCGTGGACTGCTTTTGGGTTCCCTCCAGCCCTGCACAGGGCAGCTCATTTCCCTACCTCCTCTCCACTCTTTGTATCTTTAGAATCTTGAAGGACAAGACTGTGTTGCCTCTTCCCCAAAGTCAGTACCGTTTGGGAAAGGAGCTTGTCCCAGAGACATTTCCTAACCATTGGCTCCAAGCGAGCCCCCACCGCACCTCTCCTTAGTTCATACCCTTGGTTTGCCTCTGGCCACAACTTCATCACTGTCCCTTATCAGAAATGACCTGGTTCATTTTCAGCGAGCTGATTGTGTGTCCCTCTCCCTCCCCCGTCCCACCCACCAGGAGCAGGGAGCTCCAGCACCACCCACCACCACCAGGGGCTGGTCCTAACTGCTATGGGTTTTCCTTGAACTTGGCACCAAGTTGATGCCAATAAGTACTGTTTGGATGAGGCCCCCCCATAAAGTTTCACATGTGCCAAAGGAATTCGGGGCTCCCAGACACTCCCCAGATCCAGGAAATCCAGTGTTGGGTGTGTTAACCCCCCCAACATTATTGGGAATCGGGGCGCTTTGGCTACCCTGCCTGACCTAGCATGGGAGTCCCCACTGGGCCACTGTGGGAATGGCTGGGCCCCTCTCTCAAGTACAGGCAGAACTACAGGCTTGGCCTTGAGTTAGGGCAGCAAGTTCCTCCATGCCCCCAGGGTCCTAACGCATGCAAGGAATTTTCGAATAAGACTGGAGGGATTTAGAATAAAACTGCCTGAAGTTAGCCTCCTGGAGGAGAGGCAGGGAGGGGAAGACGGAGGCAAGGGGGCCAGAGGCAAGGGGAGAGGTGAGGTCACCTAGGGTCATGGGTCAGGCCCAGGTCTCCCAAGAAGAAAGGCATCTGATCTAGAGCAGTGTTTTTCAAACCTCAGGTCACGACCCATTCATGGGTTGCAAAATCAATTTAGCAGGGTGCAAATATATTTGCATAAAATGAAAGAATCCCAAGACCAACCTAGAAAATATTAGAAACAAAGTCACTCTTGTGGGTTGCAAACATTGTGTGTGTGTGTGTGTGTGTGTGTGTTTTTAATAGAAGAAGAAAACAGAACAGAATAAAATACATAGAACAGGAAGCGAAGAAAATCTGGTTGGCGGCTTACAATCAACTTCTTAAAAACGAAAGAATAGAACAAAATATAAATGTGGTGGGTTGCAACAGCTTTGTTTCTATAACATCAGTGTGTTGGACAGCATATAATAGTTGTGAAAAAGCAGAATAGAGAATTTATCAGAACAAGATTAATTTGGTGGGTTACAGCCAGCTAATGTTCGTAAAATGTTGGTTTTGTATAAAACAAAACAATAGAATAAAGAAAGTAGGCTAAAAATAACAGGAAAACAAATCCAGAGGGTTGCAATGAATATTTTTTCTTTTTTTTTAAAGATTTAATTTATTTATTTGACAGAGATCACAAGTAGGCAGAGAGGCAGGCAGAGTGAGAGGGAGCAGCAGGCTCCCCACTGAGCAGAGAGCCCGATGTGGGGCTCAATCCCAGGACCCTGAGATCATGACCTGAGCTGAAGGCAGAGGCTTAACCCACTGAGCCATCCAGGTGCCCTTATTTTTTCTAAGATTTTATTTACCTATTTGATAGAGAGTATCTGACTTGTACTGTATGTGGCTTGCAAAGCCTAAAATACTTGTCATCAGTCATCCTTTAGAGAAAAAGTTCACCAGCTCATGGCTCAGAGCAACTCTCATGTGTAAGAGCAGGAAAAAATGCCTTCAGGATGCTCCTTCTAGCACTTTATGATATCAAGCACATAGAAACATACATGTAGCACATAGCACGTAAGTGTCCCTCTTGTCCAGGGCGGGTGGGGGGCAGATGAGTGAATCGGTTATTTTCCAACACACTCAGTGGCCATGGGAAAACCAAAGAACCAGAAGGTCAGGCACTAGCATGAATGCATTTCAATGACAAAATGCTGAGCTAGAAAAGGGAACTGCTAGAAAACATGGACAGCTTGATATATTTTAAGTATTAATATATGTAAAACAGGGGCGCCTGGCTGGCTCCATTGGTAGAGCATGGGACTCTTGATCTCAGGGTCGTGAGTTCGAGCCCCATGCTGGGCATGGAGCATACTTAAAAAAACTTTTTTAATTAAGAAAAAAAATATAGGGCACCTCGGTGACTCAGTTGTTAAGCGTCTGCCTTCAGCTCAGGTCATGACCTCAGGGTCCTGGGATCGAGCCCCGCCTCGGGCTCCCTGCTCAGCGGGAATCCTGCTTCTCCCTCTACCACTCCCCCTGCTTGTGTTCCCTCTCTTGCTGTTTCTCTCTGTCAAATAAATAAAATATTAAAAATTTTTTTAAAAATATGTAAAACAGTACTATATACTTCTACCACAAGCTCATGGATTCCTAAGTAATATAAAAGTTCACATGAGAATGACAAAAACGGGTCTGGCAAAGAAGGGGAGGAAGGAGGCAAGGGGCAGAGGACCTAGAACCCCATGGATTTCAATGGAATCTGTAATGTTTCCTTTCTTCCTAGAAGATACATTTGAGCTTGTTAATATTGTTCTTCTCACACTTTCTTCTTAAACAATACATCTTGCAATAGGTCCTTCTGTGTAGGTAGTAAGAGCGCAACTGTGTCGGCACAGCAAAGCGATTGCTATAGAATTCAGGCTGTTGCCGTTTGTAGGCAGGGGTGGGGGCAGGGCACAGGTGAGGGACTTTGGGAGGAAAATTGGCAAATCCCTACTTCTTGGGCGGAGGTTACAAGAGTTGACTTTGTAATAACACAGTTACGTATTTGCTTCATGGAGTTTTCCGAGTTAGTTTCTTAATAATGCTTAGGAGTGTTTTTAAATACCCACAGATGTGGGGCGCCTGGGTGGTGTGGTTGGTTGAGCATCTGACTCTCGGTTTTGGCTCAAGTCATGATCTCAGGGTCATGAGATCGAGCCCCACATGGGGTTCTGCGCTCGGCATGGTCTGCTTGAGATTCTCTCTCTCTCCCTCTGACCCTCCCACTTGTGCTCTCCCTCTCTCTCAAATAAATACATAAATCTTAAAAAAAAAAAAATCCAGGGGCGCCTGGGTGGCTCAGTGGGTTAAAGCCTCGCCTTCGGCTCAGGTCATGATCCCAGGGTCCTGGGATCGAGCCCCACATCGGGCTCTCTGCTCAGCAGGGAGCCTGCTTCCCTCTCTCTCTCTGCCTGCCTCTCTGCCTACTTGTGATCTCTGTCAAATAAATAAAATCTTTAAAAAAAAATCCAGATATGATAAACCCCCCCGTTCAGGATAGAGAGAGCCAGGAAGTATGGGGGATGGCATGAGGGAGGGGACTATGGGGACTTCAACCAGATCTCTCATGTTTTTATTTTAAATTGTGGCAAAATACGCATAACATAAAACTTACCGTCTTAACCGTGAGGGTTGAGTACATTCACGTGGTTTTACAACCCCGATATTTTATTTCTTTTTTTTTAAGATTTTATTTATTTATTTGACAGAGATCACAAGTAGGCAGAGAGGCAGGCAGAGAGATGGGGGGAAGCAGGCTCCCCGCCAAGCAGAGAGCCCGATGAGGGGCTCGATCCCAAGACCCTGAGATCATGACCCAAGCTGAAGGCAGAGGCTTATCCCGCTGAGACACCCAGGCGCCCCTGATATTTTATTTCTTAAACGAGGAGAGATCTGAAACAAATCAGGAGAATGTGTAAATGCCAATGAAGCGGGTCATAGGAACATAGCAGCGCTGGGCTAGGAAATGGTTAACAACCCGCTGTGGTGTGGGGCAGCCGTGATGTACTGTTTCCCAATTTCTCTGGTGAAAGTTCTCCCATTAGGGCCAGTTTCAAGTGACCAACTTGAGGTCACTAATGGGAAGTAGGAGGGGAGTTTGGGAAGTATTTTTCACACTATTCTCTCTCTCTCTCTCTCTTTTGGTATGCTGAAAGGGAACACAGATGCGTGCGCGTGCACACACACACACACACACACACGCTTGTAAAAAGTGTCGATTTCCTCTGCAAGAAGACACCGGAAGCCAGCAAAAGTGGAAAGTGATCATTCTAAGTCCCGTTCCTCCAGTCCACCACCACATCACATCAAATCCTTTAAAATATCACCCACAAATCAAAAATAAAAGGTCACCGAAGGCACTCATTAAATATGATGCACATTTGACTTTATTTGCAAGCCAGCAGCCGATGGGTCGACAGGACGGCAGCATTTTGAGGCGTTTATTGAAACACACGACATACTTTCAACTCTATGGTTTTCCTTTCATGATTCAGAGCCCGCGATATTTTCTCCTAAAGTCTGAACTGCCTGGGTAAGCCCCAAGGCTTGGGTTTAGACTGTGAGACATTTCCTGTCTTCTAGAAAACCAAGGCCCAGAAAAGTCAAGCTGCTTACTCGAGGTCACACAGCAAGTGAGCAGGGGATGTTGGGGTAAAGCCAGGGTCTTGTGGATTTCTTAGGCTTAGTTTACAGATGAGGAAGTTGCTCATCAGAAAGGCAGAGGATATGGAATAAAGCACGCTGGGAGATCATGCCAGGGTCTTGCCTGCTAACTCCCCAGGGCTCCAGATCCTATCTTACTGCCTCTTACTTAGGAGAGTCCCAAAAGCTCAAGGTTGGCGGGAGCTCTGATGGAGGAGTGTTAGGCAGGCGAGCGGAGGGCTGCGATCCCTCACGGTTGTCTATCCACCCCCCCCCCGCCCCTTATAGAATCCTCTGCTGGTAGAGGCTGAGAAGAAGGTCTCCTACAACTGCTGCGGCCAGGGTACCATCTGCCTACAAATCCAGATGGAAAAGAACACCTTCGTCCCAGGGCAGAGGATCATCTTCACCACGGAGATCAACAACCAGACCGGCAAGTGCATCAAGACGGTCATCTTCGCCCTCTACACCCATGTGCAATACGAGGGCTTCACCCCCAACGCGGAGCGGCGGTTGCGGGTGGAAAGCAGTGAGCTGCTCCGGCAGGAGGCCAACACGCAGATCACACCTTTCGACACCACCAAGATCGTCAGCACCTTCAACCTCCCGCAGGTGCTGTCCGTGAGCAGCAGCCTGCAGGACGGCGAGATCATGAGTACCCGCTATGAGCTGGTCAGCGCGGTCCACCTGCCCTGGTCCCTGACCAGTGTGAAGGCCAAGGTTCCCATCATCATCACCAGTGCCCCTGTGGACCCAGACAGCTGCCCGATGCTGGAGTGCCAGGATTAAGTGCCCAAACTTCTAAATATTAAAAGCTTTATCGGACTCTATGGGGCAGCCCTTTCTTTGTCTGGCACAGACGGTCTTTGGATGGGTCGGGTTGTGGTCAGCACGTGCCTGAGCCTCCCCACCCTGTGGCCACTTAGGCATCAGTGTCTCCCGGCCCCAGACAGTTCACCAAATGCCAGGAGAAGGAGGAAACTGACAAGGTCTTCCAGTAGCCCCACCTCCGTTAGCGCTCCAGACCCACTTCCGTGCTGGGTCGTACAGTGCCTAGAACTTGGGGTCTCCAACTGGGGCAGTTCTGCCTTCCAGCTGCACTAGCAAAGGCTGGTGGTCCTGGTTCTCACCAGGGAGGGGGGACAGAGGCTGCTCCGGGTAGTGGGTGAGTGGGGGTCAGAGGTGCCACTCACTGGCCCGCGATGGCCAGGCTGGCCTCACCCCACAGAATGACCCAACCCCAAAGGTCCGTAGCGCCAAGGGGGAGAAAACGTGCGTTCATTATCTGGGGGGAAAGTTGAGTTCGATCCCTAGCTCACACTAGACACCTGAATAAATCCCCAATGTATCAGGCGGCAGAAACCAGGGTGACCCCCTGGCATCTGTGAGTTCCCTCCTCTCTGCTCCCCACTTCGTGTGTGTATTTATTTTTTTTATTATTTTTTAAAAGTATTTATTTGACAGAGTGAGATCACAAGTAGGCATAGAGGCAGGAAGAGAGAGAGAGAGAGGAGGAAGCAGGCTCCCCACTGAGCAGAGAGCCCGATGCGGGGCTCGATCCCAGGACCCTGAGATCATGACTGAGCCGAAGGCAGAGACTTAACCCACTGAGCCACCCAGGGGCCCCTCATGTGTGTATTTAAATGTGTGCAGGATCCCAGGATATCCTCAGCTGGCCAGATGGTTAGGGAATACAGAGTCTCCTGGGGGTCCTGGGAATCCCCTAACCTACTGGGTCTCACCCAGAGGGATCCTGCCCCTCAGGGGACACTAGGCAACACCTGGGGACATTTGTGATAGTCATGACTGTGAGTGTTCTGCCACTGAGTGGATGGGGTCAGGAATGCTGCTCAACATTCCAGAGCGGACAGGACAGTCCCCCCACAATTAAGAATGATCTGTCCCCTTGGGATGCCTGGGTAGCTCAGTCGGTGAGCATCTGCCTTTGGCTCAGGTCATGATCCCAGGGTCCTGGGATCGAGCCCTGAGTGGGGCTCCCTGCTCAGTGGGGGAGGCTGCTTCTCCCTCTCCCTCTGCCTCTCCCCCTACTCGTGCTCTCTTACTCACTTTCTTTTTCTCAAATAAATAAAATCTTAAAAAACAAAAAGAATTATCTGGCCCCCACGGACTCTTAATGATAGAGAACACACTGATGGTCCCCAGAGGGGAGGTGGGGGGGGTGGGTTAAATGGGTGATGGGGATTAAGTCACCCACTTGCTGTGATGAGCACTGGGTGAGGTATGGAGATGCTGAATCGCTGTATTGTACATTTGAAACTAATATTATGCTGTATGTTAACAAAGTGAAATTTAAATAAAAACTTTTAAAAAGAGAATGATCTGGCCCCAAACGTCAGCACTGTTGAAGGGGAAAGACGCTGGGCAGGTGTTGCCAAGTACCAGGGTTGGGTCAGGGTGGCGCCCTCTTACACTCACAGCCTCCCAGCTCTACCCCACCTCACTCAGGGTAGAAGCCAGAGTTCTCCCAACACAGGACTTACACATCTGCCCATGTGTCAGCCCTGACCATCAGTCACCTGCACCTGACCTGGTCCCCTACAGTCTGCCCTGCCCGCAAATAAAAATCCAGGATGCCGGGACGCCTGGGTGGCTCAGTTGGTCGGACGACTGCCTTCGGCTCGGGTTATGATCCCGGGGTTCCGGGATCGAGTCCCACATCGGGCTCCCAGCTCCATGGGGAGTCAGCTTCTCCCTCTGACCTTCTCCTCCCTCATGCTCTCTCTCACTGTCTCGCTCTCAAATAAATAAATAAATAAAATCTTTAAAAAAAAAAATCCAGGATGCCTTGTGACATTTGCATTTCAGAAGAACAATACCATTTTAGCATAGTTATGTCCCATGCCATATCTGGGATATGCTGAGGCTTAAAAAAAATCACTTGCTGTTTATTTGGTACTGTAATTTCACCGGGTGTCCTGTATTTTGCCTGGCAATCTGATTCCTTAAGCAACCGGAAGGCACTGAGCACGCATCAGGCCGCCTGGGTCCATCGGGTCTCGATGACACTCACCCTGGCCTACAAGGCTCCCCCTGGTCAGGAATGAAGGAATGCGTCCCTGATGCCACCCATTCCTGTTCTTCTCCCACTTCTCAGATTTTTGGTGTCTGCTTTCTTCAAAGTCCTATCATCCATGCCTCCTCTTTCAGGAAGGCTTCCTGCCATACCAGGTAAGCACCTCTCACCCTCCTCTACCAGGTCCTGAAGCGTATGACTTTCAAGGGTCATCTCTGCAGATGATAGATCTAAGTAATAACAGAAACAACGAGGACAATAACACCACGGCAAGGACTGGCTCCATTCATACCCCATTTTCCTTCTTCCTCCTGGGCCAATGGCTGGACTACATTTCCCAGCATCCCTTGCAGTTGGGTGTGGCCACGTGATTGAGCTGACCAATGGCGCGGAAGACGATCACGGCCGACGGCCATGTGACTGATCTGGCCAAGTGACGTGAGTCACTTCAGGCCAGATCCATTAAAAACGGGTCACGGGAATCTCGTTCTCTGTTTCCCTTTTTGCCAGCTGCTTGGAGAGGAGTGTTTGAAGGGGAGCTGCCCAGGAAACTTGATCTGCGCTCGACTGTTGCAAAGATAAGGAATAAAACTTTATTGAATAAGCAACAGCTGCTGAAATTGACAATTTCTTCTTCCAGCTCTTGGTCTACCCTAGGATTTCTCCAGCTCTGCATATTGACATTTGGGGGTCACATAATTCCGTTTATAGGGGACAGTCCTGTGCGGGGGAGGACGTTGAACAGCATCTCCTGCTTTTACCCACTAGATGCCAGGAGCATCCCCCAAGCTGTGACAACAGAGAGATGTCTCCAGACAGCACCAAGAATCCCTTGGGTGGGCAGAATCACCCTCAGTCGAGAGCCTCTAGTCTACTCTTATCATACAAGTGGCTACATGTGTGGAGGCCTTTGGACATTTCAGGGACGGGGACTCAGTGTGGCCATAGCTGAACCTGTCATCTCGTCTTCTCCCCACCCCTGCCCCACCTGCTCCGTCTTCATCTCCCCTCATGAAGACCCCACCTACACCTTCTATTCTCCCAAGTCCTGTTTGTTTGACTTCCTAAGTACCTGCTCAACCTGTCCACTTCTCTCCATCTCCCCTGCCACCACCTGAACCCAGGCCACCATCAATGCTTACCCGGATGATGGCTGTAGCCACCTCCCAGGCGCTGTGTTCTCTCACCCCTGCACCCTTACTCCAGCAGCCCGAGATGGAGGGAAAGAGAGACAGAGAGAGAGAGCGATTACAGGCTTGATTAGGGCTGGAGAAGCCCCTCCCAAGAAGCCCCACCCACACAGGCACCACGGGAGTTTCCTGGGTGTCCTTGCAACGGGCCCGCTGGCTTCCTGGGCAGCAGGTGGTCCACGATCGAGCAGGGAGGGCACCGTGACTTTTATGACCCAGTCTCAGAGGTGTTGGACACCATCACTTCTGCCGTATTTGGTAAGAAACAAGTCACGTGCAGCCCACGCGCCGCCTTCTAAAGGAGTGTCAAAACATTTGTGGATTTTGTTTTTGTTTTTGTTTTCTGATTTTTGGTTTTTTTATCTTGTTTCATTCTTTAAGTAAGCTCCACGCCCAACATGGGGCCCAAACTCACATAGATCAAGAGTCACATACTCTATGGACCCAAGCCAGACAGGTGCCCCTTGTGGGTGTATTTTTTTTTTTAATATTTTATTTATTTATTTGAGAGAGAGAGAGAGAGAGCACAAGCAGAGGGAGTCACAGGCAGAGGAAGAAGCAGGCTCCCTGCTGAGCTAGGAGCCTGATTAGGGACTCAATCCCAGGATCCTGGGATCATGACCTGAGCCAAGGGTAGACACTTGACCGACTGAGTTCCCCAAGCATCCCTCCACGGGTGTATCTTGTAAAGCCACATTCCCTGACTGATTCCTTGACAAATCCCATTGGATTCACCTTTAATACCCTCTAGACTCTTTCCGCCATCACCACACTGGTCCCGCAGCTCCAGTGCCCACGCGTGGATGGGCTAACAAATGAGTCCATCCACGTGACGGAATATTACTCAGCCTTCGAAAGGAAGGAAATCCGGATACGCACTACAACACAAATGAACCTCCAGGATGTTAAGCTAGTGAAGGAGGCCAGTCTCCAAAGGACAATTCTCATCTACTTCTACTTCTAGGAGGTCCCTAGAGGTGTCCCATCCACAGAAACAGAGAGTAGATGGTGGGCGCCAGGGATGGGGACAGGGGTGGGAAGTCAGTGTTTCATGGGGACGAAGTCTCAGTTTCGCAAGAGGAGAATGTTCTGGAATTGGTTGGTGGGGATAGTTGCACAACCTTGTGAAAGCACTTAATGCCACTGATCTGTGCACTTAAAAACGGCTAAGACAAATTAAGGTAAGCTTATATATGTGTATTTTACCACCATGAAAACATTTTAATTATAGTGATGCCCAAGCCTTATATGGTGCTCTCTGTGCCCCAGGCGCTGAGCTAAGCTGTGGGTTGCTTCATTTCATCCTCTCCATCAACCATGAGCCAAGGCGCGAATGTCCCGTTTCACGGACAAGGCAAGAGAGGCTTGACATTTGGGGTCACATAATTCCGTTTATGGGGGACAATCCTGCGCGAGGGAGGACGTTGAACAGCATCTCCTGCTTTTACCCACTAGATGCCACACAGAAGCACAGGGGGTGCCCAGGCTCGCAAAGCCAGGACGGGATCCCCTAACCACCTTCAGTAGTGTCTCTCTGAGCACCCCGGAGAATTATTTTTACTGCTTCAGCTAAAGGGGGAGGGACCCATCTCTGGAGACGCAGAGC